TCAAACTCGAATAATTCGAATATTCGAAAAGCGAATAATTATGTGTAATCATAACTCGAATAGTCGAATATCCGAATATCCGAATATTCGAATATTCGAATACTCGAATAATACACCAACATTATCAAACTCACAAGGTGCAAATATCTTTATATGCACTTTGTATACTTTCATAAAATAAATTATTCATATTCTACAAGCATTTAAACAAATAGCCATAAATTTACAAGCAAATGAAAATAATCATATTTACTCTCCTGCAAATGAATGTAAAATTACGTCTCTGTGTTCTGGTGATACGCGTCATCAACTTTTGGGCGGTGTTACAATTAATGTGCCGACAAAGGCACTTTAATTGTAACACGTATCCATTACTTATCCGTTGCGGCTAGTTGCCAAAAATGATATGAGATAACAATTTTTTTTCTTGGGAAACGGTGAACGGAAAACAAACACTCGAATATCTAACGAATACGAGTAGAAATACTCGAGTATTGGAATATTCGTTAGATATTCGAGTATTCGAATAAACCACTAAACGAATATTCGAATATCAGATTTTTAAAAATTCCGAGCCCTAGCAAATACTCATCGAATAGCCAGCAAAATCGGAACACGATCGGATACAAAAACGGGGACGGATCGGGCAGGTAGCGGAAAGATGTGAACTTCGGCGTTGAAAGTCTAGTACCATTTTGCTCTCAGATCTTCGTCCCATTGTATGACCGGAGTCGGATCGGATAGATGTGACCCTGCCTTAATAGTCTGACACACAAAGATTTTGTTCACATGTAAATGTCGTAGTTCATTAAGGCCCAGTTTCATCAGAAACAAGCGAAACGCAGTTTGACGAAACTAAGTTTATGTTTATGTCGAAATTAAACTCGTTTAACAACGGACCGTTTTACCATCGCTTCGGTACGTTTATTGAAACGCAGTTTAAGAAACTGGAAACACTGGCATCGTTGCAAAAGTCAGAAATATTACGATGCTCATCGCAAAATCATCTTATCAAG